AATTGATCAAATAGTTATAGATACAGTAATACATAAAACAACGTACAGAATAATCTAATCAAAAGTTATAGATATAGTCATACATAAAACAACGTACAGAATAATGTAATCAAAAGTTATAGATACAGTAATACATAAAACAACGTACATAATAATTTACATGAATATTTTATTTCATCATAACAATAGTAATTTTTACCTTAACTTAATTCAATGAATATAGATATTTTATTCATCATAACAATAGTAATTTTTACATTAACTTAATTCAATGAATATAGATATTTTATTCATCATAACAATAGTAATTTTTACATTAACTTAATTCAATGAATATAGATATTTTATTCATCATAACAATAGTAATTTTTACATTAACTTAATTCAATGAATATAGATATTTTATTCATCATAACAATAGTTAATTTTACCTTAACTTAATTCAATGAATATAGATATTTTATTCATCATAACAATAGTAATTTTTACCTTAACTTAATTCAATGAATATAGATATTTTATTCATCATAACAATAGTAATTTTTACATTAACTTAATTCAATGAATATAGATATTTTATTCATCATAACAATAGTAATTTTTACCTTAACTTAATTCAATGAATATAGATATTTTATTTTGTTTTTTCATCATAACAATAGTACTTTTTAACTTAATTCAATGAATATAGATATTTTATTCATCATAACAATAGTAATTTTTACCTTAACTTAATTCAATGAATATACCTCATAAATTCAGGGCCGGATTTAAACCCTTTGAGGCCCCTATGCTATACTGCGATGCTGAAGGCCCCCTTTCTACGGTGATTCAGAATTAATGCCCCTTTTTTGGGGCTCGGTGACCCTGTACAATTTCCTGGGTTCCAACCCCTCTAAATCCAGCACTGTATATATATTTTAATTTTTGGAACAGAGGTAAAGCAGAATATCAATATCAATAGTAACTACAGCAGAACGTACACGAGCTAACATTGACCATGTACAAGTCACGTGCGTTACGTATATCAAGAGCTAACATTGACCATGTACTAGTCACGTGCGTTACGTATACCACGAACTAATAATGATCATGTACAAGTCACGTGCGTTACGTATATCACGAGCTAACATTGACCATGCACAACACAAGTCACGTGCGTTACATATATCACGAACTAATATTGACCATGTACAAGTCACGTGCGTTACTTTATTAATTTTTTTATGAATATTTTAGTCTGATCCGCAAATCAAGATTAAATTCACATTATTGTCCAATAATTTCATTTAGTTACATTTCGTAACTAAACACACTTGTGGCCTTGTGTAGCATCTATGAATAGGAGGATTCGTGGTTCACGTTCCGTTTCCATACATAAACGCACTTCGCACTTTGGGTTGCTATAAGTGTCGATCAAATCACACTATTTGATCAGATAAATCTTTTACGGTAGATAATGGTGATTACTTGCCTTCCCTGTACTCTGTAGGTTTCAAATTAGGGATGACTATGTGCAAATAGCTCTTGTGTTTTGCTCGAAACTTCTAGAACACATACACACACAAACTTTACAACTAATCTTAGTCACACAGTGTTGTAAAAAAAGTATCCGTTGTGGTGAATAAAATATTGTTTGTATTTTGTTTGCTGTAAAGCTATATAATGGGCTATCTGTGCGCTGCCCATCGCAGGTATCTAAACTGACCTACCACTGAGCCAGGGGAGGGGGATATTGTGTGTCTAGTAAGTAAAGTTCTTCTAAAAACTGTATGTAATTAAACATTAGAGACCTTCGTGTTCATCTCTGGGAAAGTAAAGCTACAAATGATACAGATGTCAAACAGACGAAACTGGACAGTTGGAACGTTTCACTACAAACATAGTCAACATTTAGATCATTGTTAAAGTGACAGGTGGAACGTTTCACTACAAACATAGTCAACATTTAGATCATTGTTAAAGTGACAGGTAGAACGTTTCACTACAAACATAGTCAACATTTAGATCATTGTTAAAGTGACAGGTGGAATGGTTGAGTGCAAATATATTTCTAGTTTTCATTAAAGTCTTGTAGTTGTGATCAAAATCGCGTTTTAATGTAGAATCTTGTTTGATTAGATTACTCATTAAGAGGTTGTAAGGCCTAACGAACTTCATTGTTCCGCCAACTTCGGTATTTTACACCACACACACTTATTTAAAAAAAAAGGTTTATTTTTAATGCATTATTAATATTAGTTTTGTAGGTTGATTAAAATACTTTTACAATAATCTTGAAAGTTTGTAATTTGTTTGTAGAATAAACTTCGTTCTATTATTAGCCGAGCTCATCATGCCGAATAGGATTACGTGAAAATCGCTTCTAAATTTATGTATTTCATTATACAAAAGCTCTTATTGTAATAAAAATAATAAATTTTTACTGGCCATTTTCACATAAAGTATCGAATTGCATAATACAATTTATATTAAAAATTGTTCGTCTGCTCATTAATACGTTTGTTTAGATCTTTTAACTAAGGATAAGGGCTTGAATTTCTTAAAATTGAAATTTTTTCTGTAGTATTTCAATCGTTTATATTATACAAAAGTCGGGTCTTAGCTAAACCGTTACTAATAAGGTATTTATTTTGTGCAGTAAAATAATACTTTTTGAAAGACTTGACATTTTACAGTTTACAAGCATGTTCGTAGCTATCAAATGTATAGCATAATGTTAGGCTTAATAACGTGTCATGAAGTAAGTTACAATATTAAATATTTTTGTAATTATTATTTGGAGAGTAAAGGTCATTTTTTTTCTAACTTTATTGTGAAAATGCCCAAATCTCTCCAGTATGCACTACAAATTCTAAAAAAGAACAAAAAATTTGGAAATATATACCACCATTATCATACAGAATTATGTTTTTTGAACCGGCTTAACGAAGGTTTGTTTGCATTTCTTGTTTTAAATAAGATGTGGAGCATGCGTAATTGTCGCAGGGATGTTGTCTTCGTGATGAGAACGACATTGGCCTACATGAAAAAAGGCTTGTTACTGGGTCAAGATATCGAACAGACGGATAAGGCTAACATAATTTATGTATGCTTCTCTTGTTTGTTTTTGAATGATATGTCTGTGATGTTTGGATAAGATAACCTAATGATTAATTTTGTATTAGTTGTTATTAATTTGTAGGAAAATGTGACCAAATGCAGAAAATTGTAGATGCATAAAGTGTCCGTGTTAGTAAAAAAATTAGTTCTGTTGCGTTACTTTTTGGTACATAAATCAACCCAAACTGTTTGGAGCACTTTTATTGCTGTAACGGAACGCGAACTCTATATATTCAAACTCTATACAGATGGAGTAGGAGTACTGGTAAGATGACACTTAGGTATTTTGTATGAATTATTATCAACATTCTATAGATCTACCTATGATATTATTAAAACAAAATTTAGATGTATAAAACCTGACACATTATTATAATTACTGTGATAATTACACAGCCTCCAATGAACTTGCATACAGTAGGAGTATGTAGGCTAATACTGGAGTTTTTTTTATTCATATTTTAAAATTCTTTTATTACATTCAAAGTAATACACACTGCCTGATGGTTTTACGATACTCTTCGCTACCGAGAATGTTTTAAATTTTTTCCAAGACGTGTTTCATGATGGTGTGTGTCAAGTGACTAACCTCACATTTCATGGAACATAAGTCCCTAAAGTGTATCAATACAGTTTCTTCCTCTCATATCTAACACGATAGTTTATGAAATATCCCTTCGATTATAGTGTAGTAAGAATAAATAATAAAAAAAACGATTCAGTGTGTTTGATTTAAATACCTTCCAGAAACCGTTGAATATTTGCTTTACATTGAAAGTTTTTGTTTATACACATAAGAATTTTTGTACCAGAGAACTTTTTAATTTTTTTGTTGTTAGAAAAAAAAACATTATAAGCTGCTCGCTGACTCGCCAAGGTTTTATTTTTATTTATTTCAGAATTATTGGGCAATGCTACTATGTGAGGTTTATTACTGATATTTAATAATAGCATCAGAAGTTGGGAAGTTTAACTTCAGAAAGCCTAACTGAAAGTGTACCCTAAACTTTGTACGACTATCGGAAGTTATGTAAAATCTATTATAACAGGTTTATTATTACTATTTGAAAATAATAACTACGAGAAGGCCTTTCAATGTTTTCGCTTATTCAAGTAATTTTGGCTTTATTTTGACGTATTTTATTTTTTTATTAAATAGAGTCACCTCCTCCACCGTACAGACGATATCCTCAAGAGCTCCTCAAGCCAGAAGGTGAGTGTCACGTTTTTAAGCCTAATTCGAGTACGGTCCGTTTTAGGTTGCGTTGAAAACGTATGCAGTGAGTAATGATTATTTTTAACCAAATTGTTTAGATGCGATATAATAATAATAATGGAAGATATTCAGACACATTCTTATTTTCCCCAATGTCATCAAACGATTATTTTGTATATTTAGATATTTTTATAAAATCCTATATTGAATTGAATATAACTTTTAATGAAAAAGGATTTGCACCGTTTAGGCATAACGATACAAGTTAGTTTAATTGGGTTTTGTCAGGTACGAATGAAAACAGAATAAAACTGGTTAAAAAAAATTAAAAGTGCATTTGTATAAATTCTGACTGTTAATTAAAAGAGAATCCAATGTTTATGGTGATTTTATTGTGTATGACTGCTGTGGTTCATGTTAGATAGTGAGCTTAAACCTACCTAGCTTTAGATTAACAGTATTGTTATCACGTGACATGAATATTCTACTTTTTTCAGATCGGGCGCCAAGTGAGCCCGTTTCCTTGGAAACCGGAGGTACCAATCAGTACGGGTCTTATCGCAGCCATTCACCTGGTAGGTAACATACATTTTTGGGAGTAGTTTGGTTTAAATATTTAATTTTTCTATATGTATTTTTTCATCTTAAATACGTTTTGTGAGATTGTTTTATTGCTTTGATTTTTAAAAGATGGACAAATATTTATGCTTTTCTAGCCATTCATCAAAATATGCGTATCATTATTTTTCCTTAAATTAGATTAAAAGTATTTTGAATTTTTCAGCAGAATTAGGTCTGTGTTTGTGCGAGTCTTGTATTTATTATTATGTGCGTTGAAGCACTTTTTTTTAGTCTGTGTGTTTGTAATTAAGCACAAAGCTACACAATGGGCTATCTGTGCTCTGCCCACCACGAGTATCGAAACCCGGATTCTAGCGTTATAAGTCCGCAGACATACCGCTGTGCCACTGGGGGGCTTTTCTTTTTAATCTTGACCAAAACTTGGTAACACAGAGGTCAAACGTGTATTAGTACTTATTGTACATGAAGATCAAAATTATTCCAAAGGTCAAGCTGACACAAGGTGATTGTAATACATTAGGTGAGAAAAACTAAACGAGGCCAGTTTTCTCGTCCACAGCTTTCTTAAGTGACCCTTCCTTGATAAATACAAACTAAAATAAGCTTCAGATTGGTGAAAATAGTCGAGTTACGCTGGTTTCCCATCTTTTATTCCAAGCTCCCGTTCTGTGGCCTTATGTCAATAATGTTTAATAATTAAACACGCATTTATTTATCTAATATCAATACATTAAAAAGGAATATAAGTCGCTATTGTTGACATTTGAAATGATTAACTTCCACCGATTATAATTATTTTAATAAAGAGAAAACTAGTTTTCACTGCTGGAGACTACGTGACGGGCTTACGAATAATACATCACAGTTAACGTAGCAGCCAACATAAGTCTACACACACGAGAACCCCTACCTGCTCGAGGCTTTTGGCGTTCCCTACTAAAGGCCTCTCTTGTTGTTTTTTTTTAGATAAATACGGGCGGGCGGTGAGGCCAGCTAGGGGGAGATAAGTATACCATTCAGAACGTGCCCCTTCCGAATGACTGCTAAGTACTTGTTTGATAGTTTTCTTTTCTTACCACAACACGGTAACGTAAAAGTTTTTGGTGTTAAAAATAACATCCAACCTACTCTTTTCTAGTTGGGAACACTGTAACACTTGGCGAGGGAGGAGCGTGGTTGTCATGTAGTTCTGTAAGGTATGGGAGGATAAGACTTCTAACACGGAGGATAATACGTTTCGAATGTAACACTTGGCACGAGAGGATAAAACGACTCGTAATGTCCCTAATTCTGTCTTTTCGTAGCCAAGTAGCAAGGGTAGTGTGAAACGTGAGTCGGGCAAGTGCAGCCACGTGATTTAGCCCTTTCATAAGGATCAGAGCTACGTGAGTCGGGCAAGTGAAGCCCACGACCTTCACCTCTTACTGCTATTCTGACCTTTTCAGCAGAGTGATAGCACGTTATGGAAAACTTCTCAGCTGTAGTAGAACTGTGTCGTTCAGTGGTGATAATACATGCAAAAATCACCATGATAAGTATTTGACACATGAATTCAGTATCTAAATCCAGGATATATATGCTACAAGTAATCCATTCATCAGTATCTAAATCCGAGGATATATATGCTACAAGTAATCCATTCATCAGTATCTAATATATGCTACAAGTAATCCATTCATATCCTGGATTTAGATACTGATGAATGGATTACTTGTAGCATATAAATCCTCGGATTTAGATACTGATGAATGGATTACTTGTAGCATATAAATCCTCGGAAGTTGAACAATAATATTATTCTCTTCTTTCAAAACTTGTGAGGATGCAAATGTTGTATCTGTAAAAGAACTTTAAAGATTTAAACCGAAGATTAAAGATTTGTGTCCCGTTGTCACGAGATCTTTGATGTACTATACGAGTGACAATCAAACCCCACTATTCGGTCACACAAGAGCGCCGAGTGCTGTTCACAAACCGCTTTCCCTTTCATCTGTTGGTTGAATATTAGGGAGGGATATACGCAGGTAATCCCCGAAATTCTGAAACCCAATGAATTACAAATAGACGCGAAAGGCGTGAATAAAAGTATTTCATTATAATTACAGATTAAGTATTTAAATATACTGTCTTCGGTTAGTTAAAAAAACATACGCGCACATTTCAAATGATCTGCATTAAAAGCAGACGATATGATCCGATTTTGTTTTCGATAACTTTTCGACGTATTCCGAGATTAAGATTAAATGTACCGGGGGGGGGTTGAAGAATGACTAGCCAGACTTAACGGAAACTATTTGCTGGGCGGGGCGAGCTGACGGGGAGGAAAGCTGCCTTCTGGAAGAGCGACCCAGACTCTCCGGAGTCAGCGCCGGCTAAGGTAGTAGTAGCTCGGAGAAATTGTTCAGCTTAGCAGGCTGGCATCAAGTCAAACCAGCGGTGCAAGGTTAGTGACGCACCAAACGCACGCTCTGGTAAAAACATAAGCAACAGAATACTCATGTGAACGACAAATAACCCTTGGCAAAGTTAGTTGACGCCAGCATAAAGGCGCCTGTTTGTCCAAACTTCTGTTCCTGGCCTACTTTTCACTCAAGTTTGAACGAAAGCAGCTTTCTAACGATTTTATTTACACTCGATCATCGCGTTTGTACCTACCGCGAGGTAATGTAAAAGAAACAGCGGAATTTAAATTATATTCAATATCTCGATAGAAGTGTTACAGTAGGCGTCTAAATCAGACGACATTCGAGGTGAAATGAGAGATTGTTTAATTACGAAGTATGATCTATACACGTCACGAATTATTCCAGCCCTTCCTTACAAGGAATTCTTCCCGTAATTGAATGTTTTTGCGAGCACGTAATACCATTCATAGGCCTTTACATCTAATCTCAACAGTATATACGTTTTGATAATTCCGTGGTCATCCATTTCGGACAACGTCGTGTTCAGGAAATCGAACCCCAAAAACACTGACTAGGGCGTTCAACCTTTATGTAAATATCTGTGTTTTCTTTAATATTTGGAAATATTTTAACAACTTACGTTTGTTCCGAGATGTCCGGACAACATTACATATTTTTACATGCCTGGACAATATTACGTATTTCTAGATGTCCAGACAACATTACATATTTTTACATGCCTGGACAATATGCCTGGACAATATTACGTATTTCTAGATGTCCAGACAACATTACATATTTTTACATGCCTGGACAGTATTACGTATTTCTAGATGTCCGGACAACATTACATATTTTACATGCCTGGACAATATTACGTATTTTTAGATGTCCGGACAACATTACATATTTTTACATGCCTGGACAATATTACATATTTGTAGGTGTTCGGACATAGCGTAACATGTATGTTATTTTTTTATTTTGTCTAAGTGTATTTTTTCCCAAAATATTAACGTTGGATTATATTCAAAGACAACAAGTTTTTTTGTGTGACGGCTCGTCTGTCTGTATTCTAATTATACTTTACACAGAATTTGACAGCAAGTCTACTGGCGGTCACAAGATTATGTTTGAACATAGTACTAAAATTTCAAAGCAGCTAGCTCCACGATTAACGTTTTTTTTCTCTAATTGAATTATTCACAATTTATGTTAACTGGAAACTTGGGGTTGTGCATGACAAATAAAAAAAATAAATATCGTGTGAAACTTTGTTAAAGTACGTCATTTTTGTAAGCATTGTTTATAATACCCTCGTACACTCCCTAGTTGTTTAACATGGCCGTTTACCACTGATGGGTTATTGGGTTTATTTTCTAACTACCTTGCTGCTGTTCGTCATCTTTCTTTAATACATTGTCAACATGCATTTCCATGTTTCACGTATATCGGTCACAGGCCAAATATAATGTACACGTTATTAATTTTGCTGTATATGCAGATAGAATCTGTACGTTTGTTTGTCTTGAGATTATTTTATTCAAACATGCGTGAATCTGTTAGAAGCATATTCGTTTTTGGGATCAACTTGTTTTTTTTTTTTTAAACAGAAGATTTATTTCCCAATAAATATCTAACACGTCAGACTTTAACAGAAAAAAAAAGTAGCAAGAATTCAGATCGTTCTAACGAGACTTTAGTCTCTCGAACTGTTACCATGATAGGCATGGCAACAAAGTGCTTGTACCCAGTCCGTGTCGAATATATGCAAACTTCAGCGGCGTATCAAAAGACTTTTCTAAAGTTACAGTTGACTTGAGAAGGAAGTATTCACCTCAGTAATATTCACTGTTCAAGAAATGTTAAACATTGACAGATTATATGGGATGAAAATGAAAATTTTCTTTATTGTACTTGCGATAACTAACGGGTCGTTTAATGTTGGTTTAGTGTACAACAATACTATACAATCACTACAAACGTTTAGTGTACAACAATACTATACAATCACTACAAACGTTTAGTTAGTGTACAACAATACTATACAATCACAATAAACTAGTGTACAACAATACTATACAATCACTATAAACGACGTCGTTTATAGTGATTGTATAGTATTGTTGTACACTAGTCGTTTATAGTGATTGTATAGTATTGTTGTACACTAAACGTTTGTAGTGATTGTATAGTATTGTTGTACACTAAACGTTTGTAGTGATTGTATAGTATTGTTGTACACTAAACGTTTATAGTGATTGTATAGTATTGTTGTACACTAGTCGTTTATAGTGATTGTATAGTATTGTTGTACACTAGTCGTTTATAGTGATTGTATAGTATTGTTGTACACTAAACGTTTTGAGTAATTGTATAGTATTGTTGTACACTAAACGTTTGTAGTGATTGTATAGTATTGTTGTACACTAAACGTTTATTGTGACTGTATAGTATTGTTGTACACTAAACGTTTATAGTGATTGTATAGTATTGTTGTACACTAAACACTCAAAATATTACACGTCTATCTTCTTGTTGTGTACTCACGAAAAGCTATATTAGCCTGCAATATATACAGGCACGTGAGAGGAATTGTGGTCGTTGATCAGAAAATCTCATTTGAACCGTCTTCTTAGGCTTAGCAAATGATGTGATGGAGAAAGCAGTTCGTGGATAACGCATGTTTTTGACAGTAGGTGGAGCAGTGATCACTCAACTTGAACTTTTTTAAATACACATTGAACAATTAAACCGACGTTATTATTCTGTATTAGTAATTACCGTTATGTAAAAAAATGAGCAAGTTTTTTTGGAGTATATCTGTTACGGAAAATATCAATCATTCCACAAGATTGTCGGTAAAATATAACGGTGTTACTTTGTACGTTTTAAGTAAAATCTCCAATGAGTTGGAATCTAGGATTATAAGGCCGGATGATAGCTGAAAGGGTAATTTTTTTTAGCGCTAGAGTGGCTAGTTTCGTAATTAGTAATTACTTTGTCATTAAGGGTTAGCACACTAGCCTCTTATAAAAAAGAGGGATCTTCCTATTATTACAAAGTTTATTGGTTTGGCTCCGAAGGATTGAATTTCCACCTCATGGAGGACTCGCTGTTTGAAATCGTAATCTTCTACCCTCAAGATTGAAGAAAGATATCATAGCGGCTTGTTTGTAAATTATTAAGACTGTATATTTTAATTATTTGTTTAAAATATTTTGTAAACATAGAAAAAAGCCAGAACTTTGATGTTGGAGGTAGAGTTGGGGTTCGTGGTCACGCACAAAATGGAAACTTGGCCTCAAGGCTTTTTTTGTTGTTTCATCGTATTTTCACAGAACTCACCAGACTGTGTAATGTGTATTACAGCAGACTTTCTTGTGGAATGTGTAAAACGACTTGTTTTATTTTTAAACATCCAACAGAGATCTAATTAGAAAGTCCACGACTTTTTATTTTTTAACATTCAGCAGAGACCTACGTAATTTTTATTTTACACGTTTGATTAAGGCTTATATGGACACAGTAACAACAACTTCTGTTACGAGGATTTAAAGCATTATCGTGTATAACTTTATAAAGATATATGTTGGCATGTAAGTTTGTATTTAATGATATTTTTTATCGCATGGGGTATACACACCTATGTGTCTGTTGGTGCAGGTGTAACTTAAATAACCAAAGATAAGGATATAAAGACACTTTAAGTTGTGTGAAGTATAAGGATAATGAAAGCGAAACAATCGTTTAATAGATTTATACACAAACGTGAGCAGTCAAAACTTCAAAGTGCTCTGACACAGATTTTAACGCGGGTATTATTTGTGTGTGGCTTTTAAATAGCAAGTTGTGCAATCGCCATCTAGTGAGTACTTTTATCAGTAAATCGGAATTATTGTTCAGAAAATACAGTTTCATGAAATACCACGCAGTTAAAACGAGTAAATGTCATATATATTGTAGGTGACCGTTTGTCCTATAAGCAATCAAATTTTGAGCAATAATATTTTTCGTTTCACAATTTACGTGTGTTAGTATATATATATTTTCTCGTTGAAACATTATTGAATTATCTGTTTGTTTCTAAATACCTTTCTTTAAAGACTTGATTGGTTCTTGAGACACATTTACTGTCAAATAATCGTAGATGTTAAGGTTGTTATCTTTTAAATTTTCACAGTCTTAAGACAATCTTTTATGGGGGCGGGTACTCTTGGATTACTCGTGCTAATTTTTGATGGTGGACATTTTAATCATTAGAGCAAGTACTTTTCCTCAAACTCTGCACTTTATATATTTTAATCAGTAGTTATAAAACTGAACACATTACAAGATTAGTGCCAACTGAATGGTAGTTGTTGCTACAGTAGAGAGGATGGTAGTTGTTGCTACAGTAGAGAAGATGGTAGTTACTGCTACAGTAAAGAGGATGGTAGTTGTTGCTACAGTAGAGAGTATGGTAGTTGTTGCTACAGTAGAGAAGATGGTAGTTACTGCTACAGTAAAGAGGATGGTAGTTGTTGCTACAGTAGAGAGTATGGTAGTTGTTGCTACAGTAGAGAGTATGGTAGTTACTGCTACAGTAGAGAGGATGGTAGTTGTTGCTACAGTAGAAAGTATGGTAGTTACTGCTACAGTAGAGAGGATGGTAGTTACTGCTACAGTAGAGAGTATGGTAGTTGTTGCTACAGTAGAGAGGATGGTAGTTATTAGTACAGTAGAGAGGATGGTAGTTGTTGCTACAGTAGAGAGTATGGTAGTTGTTGCTACAGTAGAGAGGATGGTAGTTGTTGCTACAGTAGAGAGTATGGTAGTTACTGCTACAGTTGAGAGTATGGTAGTTGTTGCTAGAGTAGAGAGTATGGTAGTTGTTGCTAGAGTAGAGAGTATGGTAGTTGTTGCTACAGTAGAGAGGATGGTAGTTGTTGCTAGAGTAGAGAGTATGGTAGTTGTTGCTAGAGTAGAGAGGATGGTAGTTGTTGCTACAGTAGAGAGGATGGTAGTTGTTGCTAGAGTAGAGGATGGTAGTTGTTGCTACAGTAGAGAGTATGGTAGTTGTTGCTAGAGTAGAGAGTATGGTAGTTGTTGCTAGAGTAGAGAGGATGGTAGTTGTTGCTAGAGTAGAATGAGTAGATTTGTTAGAACTTGTGGGGCCAGTAACAATTAGGCAACTCAGTCCATACATATAAAATGTACTAAAAGTTGAAGCTTTTTTACGTAATATAAGTCATCTAATGATGACCATCGTGAAAGTATTGTACCAACACAACTGTTGGCTCCGTTAATACGAATATTACACCAAAATCTGATGTGACAAATGTTTACATGGCCACAACACTGCTGTAACTATATGTTGTGTAAGAAAGTTTTGTTGTTGAGAATTTTTTTTTGACAAATCAGTAAATTAATTCTTCCATGATTTGTTAAAGATAACTTGAGCACCCTCCATGTGTCACAAAATGTTTGACTGAGTTTATTTGGGCAGACAATTTCTCACTATATTTTTAATTATTTGCTCAAATTTATTTGTATGTTATCATGTATTATAACATGGTTCCAAAAAGTGAAATAAAAAATCTGCCTTTTCTGAGCTCACTTCGTGACACAGAACGGGTTAATTTGGATTATAAGTTAGTTGAAATAACAGTCTTGGTAAGGTCATAGTATAAAATTTAGTAAGAAGTCCTTAACATAATTATCTAATATTTTGCAGGGGACGTTAGTGGAGTTTTTCCCTCACAACAGCTCTGGTGTACGCTAGCCTACTGGGAACTCAGGTCTAGAGTTGGCCGTCTCTTCCCCGTCCACAAGAATGCTGTCGATGTGTTTTATGATCTACCTCACGGGGACGGTTTATGTGTAAGTGCCCTCACAGAACAGAACCAGAATGATGGTGTTCTTCGAACCAGGCAGAAGATTGGTCTAGGGCTCACACTGACCAGGGAAGAGGATGGTGTGTGGGTGTACAACCGGTCAGATTTCTCCTTGTTTGTTAATTCACCAACTCTGGACTTGCCTCACACCCGGCCACTAACTGTTCACAAAGTCTTACCAGGTTGCTCCATAAAAATATTTGATTATGAGAAGTCTAGATACTATCAGCGTTTTGAGAATGTGGAACTTTCAGACGGGCCTTTTAACCATAATGCCGTCCGTATCAGTTTTGCCAAAGGCTGGGGTCCTAAGTACACTCGACAGTGTATCACATCCTGCCCCTCCTGGCTAGAAGTGATCATCTCTGTGGTCAGGTGACATATCATGCTAGTCGACTAGCCATTAGGACTGAAAACTTGTGAACTCCTGACACTCGGCTCTGAAGAAAAGCCCAGGGTATTTATTATAAAGGGAAGTGAACAGTTGGAATTACTGAGATTTTTACACCTATTTGCCTAAATTAACCCTCTGATGACCTTTTATATTTTATTTTCTCATATTAGATTACAAAAATCAAGGAAGAAACAAAGTACAAATTGCTAAAAGTGTTAAGGTCCGGTGAGTTGGTCTAGAAACTTCTCTTTTATCCACATTCATAAAGTTTTCTGTATCAACAAACATGCTAAAAACAAACTGGAGCTCCAAAGTTGGGTATTTAAATGTTTTTTACTTTGTGCAATAAGTTTTAAGAAATCTCATTAGCTTTCATTGCAAGTACATAGATGAACAAGTGACGAGGATCACACCAGCACAGTGTACCACTGAAACAAAACTTGTTATGTTGAGTGTGGTAGTTTATGAATCGTGAGAAAGGTAATCTAACATATTTGTTTATAAACAGGTACTTCTTACATGTTCACTAAGTTAGTCCAGAGGCTCTGGCCTTCTAAACATTTATTTCTAGCTTTGTTGTTACTCGGTTACTAGCTTTAAAACCTGTTGTTCTTGGAAGTTTTAAGTTCTTTAGGTACTAACATTTAGATCAAGTTTGTAGTAAAATTCTGTATGTGAAGTAAATGTTCACTAGTGTCAGTCTACAGGTTTTCAGTATTTAAAACTCACTAAAGTTTGGGAACCTGATGTGAATCAGACTCACTACATAGTAACCCATATGTGTTGATATGGACTACAGTCAGTCAGACTCACCACCCTGTAACCCATATGTGTTGATATGGACTACATCAGTCAGACTCACTACATAGTAACCCATATGTGTTGATATGGACTACAGTCAGTCAGACTCACTACCTAGTAACCCATATGTGTTGATATGGACTACAGTCAGTCAGACTCACTACATAGTAACCCATATGTGTTGATATGGACTACAGTCAGTCAGACTCACTACATAGTAACCCATATGTGTTGATATGGACTACAGTCAGTCAGACTCACTACATAGTAACCCATATGTGTTAATATGGACTACAGTCATTCAAATTCTGTATGCTAGTCCTTCCCTTTGTTTTCCAGCTGTTTAACTGCTAGTGTGCTGTAATGATGCTTTGCTAGTTAATAAATTCCATTAGAGGTTAAAGCCTCCAAACTGTGTGTCAAAATATGCTGTCTTGTGTTAGTTTTCAAGATCTGATGTTAAAATCGTCACTTCATACTCTGCAGGGCTTTACTACAACTAAACAGTATTCATTAAATTAGTAATCTAGAGTGGATAAAAAAATGAACAGGAAAAACTACGTATTATTACTACTAGTAATTATGATTAGTACATAGGCAAGAATGATTGAGTTATAAATGACTTGCTGTACAAAGTTATGTAACAGTGTATTATAAAATATGTATAGCTTTGGAAGTGTGAAACAAAGTTAAGATTCTATTAAAAAAGTAAATGTATGAAGTAAATTTTTATACTTTACCCCCACCCCTTTTTTTTCTAGACAAAGTTTACCTCAAATTACATTTTGAAAGTAAGAGTAATTTTGAATATATTTTACATAGAATTACATTTGGAATGGCTGAAGTGAGGGCTCTGGACTTTCCTTTTGCTGTAAACAGAAAATTGGTGACATAAAATAGACTGTATCAACCAGTCGCCTGAATAGTGCATATTATTACCTAAAAACGTTTTGATTGTGATTTTACCTTGATATCAGGTTATGATTTTTCATCTGTTACTGATCATAGTTAAATATTCTTAATTTAGGGTTAGCCTAGCTTTCAAAGTAGGTAACAATCTCAATGAATTTGATATTATATTATGAGCTATTTAAAAGTTAGAAAAATTAGTTAATATAATTTTTTTCAACAATTACTTCCTGTGTGAATTGTTTATAGTTCTGTGTTCCTGGTAGTTTATTACTGAAAACCATGAGAAAATAGTTTATTTCAGTGTAGCGAATATATATTTTTATTCGAACATTGTTTAAATGTTCTACAAAATATAAAAGCAGTAACCTGGAATTTTATTGAAAATATGTGAAGCCTTGAGTTTTGAAATTTATTTTGAATATGGTGATTATAAATCAGCCCTAGAGCTTTTCGTAAAGATTACACGTAATTTATCATCAATAAAAAAATATCTTGTCTAATTACTTGTTTTTCTTTCAACCAGTTGAACTGAAATTTAAAATCTCAGGAAGTTTATTATAAAGTTTGATAAATATTAAATATGATTAGTTTGGAACAAAACAATAACTCATCATTCTGTATGGATTTTTTTTTTTAATTTACACTGTGAAAACAAAATAAAAGCATTCCATGGACCAGAATTCTTTTAAACCTAAATCAAAAAGTGGTCAACATAATCTGTAGTGTTTGATCATGTATTTTGAGATTTTTTTGTGAGAGCTTGAGGTGTATTTGGTTTTGTCATTTTGTGATGATTCAAGCTACCAATTTATGTTCCAAAAAATAAGAATTAATTAAAATAATACAGAGTTTGAAATTTTAGAAAGTGAAACTTTTTTATTGAATTTGGTCTAATAAGATAATAGGGATACCTTCCCCCCCCCCCCAACAAAAAAAAACGTTTTCTTCCTCTCTCTCTCTGTGACACAAGAACATTCATGCAAACCATACAAATTAACTCTGGGTGACTCTATACTATGGGTTGAAATGTTTAGTTATTAAAATCAGATCTTGCCAACTGTAAAAGTTATGTTTTTGAATTAACTATTCCGTTCAGTAGATTCATTACTTAACATTAACTATGGGTAAGTTTAATCTTGTTTTCAGTCACTGTAATACAGTTGGGGTTAGCGTGTTTCAATCAATCGTTAAAAACATAGATAATTATCTCTATACTAGAAATATTTAAGATGTATTAATTTAAATAAGAAAATTACCAGTACCAGATGTATTTAAAATACAGTATTAAGTCAGTTTTTAATTTTAATACTGTTTTGATATTTGTTTTATGCCACAGTCCAGGCCCTAAATTGTCTACTTCATGTAGACGTTGTGGCAGCCATGTCAATATTATGAGTGGCGTTGCTCAAACGTTTGGCATTTTGTATTAAAAAAAAAAAAAAAAGGAAAGTCTGGCCTGCAGTGGGGCAACCCTCCCCCATAAGGGGCATTTTGTACTTGTAAAAACTGTAAATATAATTTTTTTCTTCATACCAAGATCACCTTACCTCATTGACTGTATAGAAAAAAAAGTGTATAGTATTGACAAGAAGTTATCTAGTATTGTACAAATACGGGGTAGTAACTTACCCCTAGTGTTTCTATTGGAACTAAATAAAATAATTGAATAAAGATTTAAGAGCTCTCTCTCTCTGTGTACCCGTTTTAAGATTATACATTACATAAACCACTGAACAAAAGATAATAAACTTTCATTGTTATTTTATTTGAACAATTTTCACACAAATTCAATTAAACGCCATGTTTTTAAGTACTCTTATACCATCTTGAGCACATTAATTAACAAATTATGAATTTTATAAGTTGCATCAATGAAACGTTTTTAACACACATATTAAACAAATACAATAATAATCAACCAATTTCTGTTGGCCTGTACCGTATATCCATCTGTCAGTTGCCGATGTTGTTTTACTGTTTCTAATAAGTAGATATCATTATTTTGTAAAAGGTAACATATATATTTAAATGTAAACATTAAAACAAAAATGTCTGCCGAGATTATTAACAAACTAAATGACATGGACCTCGTACATGAATACACACGTGGGTGCGTCATAAGAGTGATGGTCAAATCCCACTATTCGGTCTGAAAAGAGATTGGGACGGGTAGTGTTGACTTCCTTCTGGTCGCATGGGGGACTCTGAAAGGCGGTAAAGGGACTATGACTTTATGATCGTATAAATTGTATCAGTAAGTACAAATTTAAAACGAAAGAAGCTTTAAGAACAATCGAACAGAACGTAATGATATGTACTGAAATAGGTAATAATAACACATGTTTGACAATAAAGTTTTCTCACCATTGTTCTAATCTATCATTTTATAATTAGGAACGACTAACTCAGTTAGACAAACTTCGACATTCAAACAAAGGAAAACACGGTTTTAACGGTATACTTTATCGGTAGCAATGTTCAATTGTTTATTAACTTTAACATCTCACAAGAAGACATTCATTGATTTAACATTAACGAATTTGTATGTATGCAAACCTATTAAGGCTCTCTACCATTGTCCCTATTTTTGAACTACTGACCAGAAGGAAGGAAGCCAGTCGGCAGCACCATCCACACTAAGAGATTCACTGTCACTCTTGTAACGCACCCACAATTTAAAGTGAAGGGGTATATTTTGTGGTATCGCACGAATTCAAATCCGGCTCGCTATCTCTGGAATCCAGTACTCTACCACAGATGGGTAGGGCTGACGAGAGGGGGGCAGCAGCACCAGGGCCCGGCAGTAGGATATTCCAAAGCTTATTAGAAATGCATGCTACTTAATGAGCTAAAATGGCTACCTCTTTTTTTATAGATTCATAAAGAAATTTGTCAGTTAAATTTCTTTTATGAAAAATCAGCAAAAGTTAATAAACAGAATGAAAGGTGGACCCGATGATATTACTGACCCCGGGGCCTGGGCTGGCTCTTGATGCCCCTAGGTCTATCAAATTAAAGGCCCCGAGGACACTCAGTTACCAATATTGGGATCATATTCTGAATCTTAGTTATATGACTTATTGTATAAATAACTTCATGTTAAAAGTTTGTTTTTCTGTAATGGAAATATTTGATAATCGTGTTTGTAATTATGTCTTATTAGTTTAGCTGATAGATGTTGCTATTTTATGTTTGATCGAACATGCGACTAGGGACAACAGGTATATAATAAACAAGATAAATATAATATTTGGAATTTAAAAAATTTGTAAATAGGGATCGTAAAAAAAAAAGTAGGGAAACAAGGCTGAAGATACCGTAGACATTGTTTACTAAAACTACAAACCCCTATTTTTGATTCATCCCGTTACCTAGAATTATATTTGGTGGAGTCAAAACAGGGATTTGTAGTTTTAGTAAATAATGTCTACAGTATCTCCAGACTTGTTTCCTTACTTTTTATGATCCCTATTTGCATGTTTTCAAATTCCCAATTTTTTATTTATCTCTTTTTGCTGGCTTTTTTATGCTCAACTATGCGAAAAGGATTACTTGATATGATAGTTAACTTTATACATTATAATGATA